GTTAACCATAGTTAATTTTAAAAAAAGTGGTATGATTAATTGTAGTGGAATTTTATGAATGCATTAAATAATATTTAAAATAAATAATTAAAAATGATTTGATGTAAAAGTAAGAGATAAATAATTGGAAATGATTGGACATGATAGATAATTAAAATTATGTGAGTGGATGAATAGTGAATTAAAGTTGATGTGATGTGTAAGAATGATTGGTTTGTATTATTTAATTATATGAATAATATTAAAGATAGTGGGGTAGGATTAAAGTTGAGTTAGATTTTGAGTTGAAATAAAAGTGAGTAAATTAATTTGTATACAAGCAAGCCATAAAGAACATGATTACCAATAGAGGAAGAACGAACGATGAAAACATCCTGCAGAAATTGGGACTCCCACGATCCAAAAACATATCCCTAATAGCAACACTGCATCTGTGACTAGAATAAGTTCTTCTTCCACTTTATTTTGATAGTCTCAAGTAAACTATAAATGTAATCTAGCTGAATTTGTTTTTGCATTGTATCTTTTTATTTTAGTTTGGTGATTTTGATTTATATAATTTTTTTTTGCTCAATATACTTTAAACCTGGTACGTCAAAATATCTAACCGGTTGAAAACGACTAGCTCGAACCACTACCTCGTTGGTTGAACGCCGAGCACTTGGAAAGAACTCTCACACCGGATGAGTTTTTAGAGCCTCCTATGCTTAAGTCAGTATATATAAGCTTTACTCAATTCTCAAGAGTAAGAATAGATAAATCGTGCTCAAAATGTAAAGCTCACCCTTATATATAACGTGTGGTACCTACTTTTAGAGGTTGCCCAGATAAGTTGAGCTGCCCAAAACTGCCTAGCCTACCCGTCCGTACACACACAGTGTACGTGTGTCAGAGACAGTTATTTAGTGGGGACCAATCCGGTCGCGCCACGTGTCCTTCGCACATGGGGGTTTGATTTCTCTGAGATCTTTCGAAGGCTCTAGTGTTCGACCAGGCCTAGATCAATCTGCTGACTGCTCTAAGTATGGGGAGTGGTCGATCCGTCGACCGGTTGTATCGTAGGTCTATCTTCGACCAGACACTCTATGAGCCTAGGACCGCCCTGTTCTCCATGTACATCACTTTTGCATCATTGTTTCATAACCATGCAACATTTTGACACTAGTTGTGCAACACTTTATCACTAACTATGCATATGTTTTGTTTTAATAACAATGCGACATTTTTACACTAATTTTTCATCACTTAATCACATTTTTACAATATGCATCTGTTTTGTTTTAATAACCATGCAACATTTTTACATTAACTGTGCAACACGTTATTACTAACTATACAACATCTTACAATACCTATGCATCTGTTTTGGAATGCATATGCATTTGTCTTTCTTCAATAACCATGCAACGTTTTTAAATTTTGGAATAAATATGCTTTTGTCTTTCTTCAAAAACCATGGAACATTTTTAAACTAACTTTGCATCACGCTGTCACTAAATATGCAACATCCTTACAATAATTATGCATCAGTCTTATAATAACTAAGCATCACTTTTACAATATGCAACATATTTACACTAACTTTGTATCACTTTTCATTGACTATTCAACATCGTTACACTAACTATGGAACTGTTTTGTTACAATAAATATCCATCTCTTTACAATGTTTTTGAGTACTTTTTATAATAACCATACAACATTTTTACACTAACTATGCAACACTTTTAAGTGCATAGTACTGGATGCATATTTACTTCACACATAATGCATATTAGGGTCACGTTGCAAGTCAACGACAACGGTCATTGGTCAAAAATAATATTTAAATAATTAAAATAAAACATATCTTGATACCCTTTTAGTGGATAGGATTTAATCTCATTTAAGAGGTGTCCTTGTTGAGTTACAAAATTATCTCTTTACTAAAATCAAACTAATCGACTTTTTAAAATTTTTTATTATTAACAACAACAACAACAACAGTAATAATAATAATAATAATAATAATAATAATAATAATAATAATAATAATAATAATAATAATAATAATACACTAATGGTCTTTGTCAACAGCAACCACACGATACAGTAGAGCTTTGCACGATATGTTTTCCTTGGATAAACCATACTGATTACGCTAATGCTACAGATTTTTATTTTATTTTTTCAAACTAACTCCACCTAAAAGTCAAGATTAATCATAAGCTTTCCCATGATTAAACCAAATAAGTTATAAAGTGAGAGTAGAAATTAATTCTTGTCAGCATCGTCAAACTAACCTTCCCATTTATATATATGACGCTAATTTTGAAATAAAATTTAAATACAGTTAGACTTCAAAGTAACATGCGTAATATTGAATTTTAATCAGTATATTAATAGTATAAGTGTGACTTAGGAAATCATGTCACCACATAAAAATTCAAAATTAAGCATGATTGCGACCATTAATATTGGTCATTTATCAAATGCGTGTTGAACTTGTACACACACAAACTTAATTACACTTTTTCCTCAAATTTGCAAACTCAATAGTCATCAATTGTACATAAGTATATTAAAGAACATTATTATAATATATATTTTTTCTTCTTTATTTATGTTCTTTTTATATATTTATTAGGGAAAAAATCTTTTTCACCCCAAATACAAAGATACATTAAGTTTTTTACACCACCCAATGAAAAACTAAGTTTTTCACTCTGGAAAGTGCGAAGGTTATGCGAATGGTCTGCGTAACTGTCGCATATCAATTGCATAACTGTCGCATAATTATCGCACAATGTCTTCGCACTTTAACTTTTTTTCACCCCAGAAAGTACGAAGAGATATGCGAATGCCTTCGCACTTTTAACTTTCGCACAATGTCATCGCGCAATTGTCGCATATTCATCGCACAATGTCTTTTGCACTTTCTGCGGTGAAAAACTTAGTTTTTATTGGGCGGTGTGAGAAACTTAGCAGGACTTCAAAACGAGATGAAAATAGTTATTTTCACTATTTATTAAGTCACTTTTTTCTTTTCATAAATTACCATGCTAGCTGTAAATTAGATACGAAGTGTGAATATATCTATAGATGTATGTATAAGCCCAACCACCACACACAGGTGGCTGCCGCCGCCGCCGCCGGCGGCCCCCATTTTTTATCAGTAGAATTTGTAACGGCCGAAAAGAGACAAAAGAGGAAATACGAAATGGAGAGATGGGAGAAATATTTAATTATTTGTTAAAAAGATGGCAATAGAGATGGCGTAGATGGATAGCAATAATGGACCCTAAAGTGGGCCCCCCAACCAAGTGGGGTTGTAATGGAACCATGTGCGATCATATGGTGGTTGGCCCTTATCCAGGCCCACACCATCTCTCTTTTTCACTTCCAAACCCTTCCCACAAAACCTCATCCAAAAAAAAATAAAAAATAAAAAAAAACCATCAAAATGAACCACTCAAAACATAGGAGAATGCTACCATCCCGTAACGGGATGGTTCTGTTATGTTTTTAAGCGTTGGATTAACTATCTATCACTAGATTACATGTATATCTATGGCTAGAAAACACAACGGAACCATCCCGTAACGGGATGGTAGCATTCTCCCAAAACATAAACACACTAAAATGGTATTTTTAATTACATTCCCACCCCAAATAACTTTAACCATCTTAAATTATTTCCACACAAATTAGAAAAGAAAAAAGAGATGGTAAAAAATGAGTCTTGGTGAATTAATAAATGATATTGACCAATTATGCTCCTATAAATATATACAAAGATAGATAGATAGGAGAAATGCTACAGTCTCATTACGGAATCATTCTGTCGTGGATAGTTGATCTAACGATTACAAACTCCAACAGAATAGTTCCGTAACGAGACCATAAAATCTCTCGATAGATTGTTGGAGAAGAAAAAAAAATTCAAACATGAAGGATTGAATCTCAAGTCTCCTTCTCTCACCTCCCATTTTCAATCCTTTCCCTCCCCCAAGAT